CTCTCTCTCTCTCTCTCTCTCTCTCTCTCTCTCTCTCTCTCTCTCTCTCTCTCTCTCTCTCTCTCTCTCTCTCTCTCTCTCTCTCTCTTTTATACTCTCTTTCTCTCTCTCTCTCTCTCTCTCTCTCTCTCTCTCTCGCTCTCTCTCTCTGTCTCTCTCTCTCTCTCTATCTCTCTCTCTCACTCTCTCTCTCTCTCTTGTATACACATATCTCTCCTCTCGCTCTCTCTTTTCATCTTCTGTTTTATTATCTTACCCATATACGTTACTCTCCAGACTCTTATCCTCCTGTCTATATATTCGTCTATTGCACCATTTCCAACCCTCCTATGTCACCTAGTTTTTGTACGCGTCTCAATTCTGCTGTTTATACCTTACAAATACGTTATGTAGAATCACCTTTATATTAACAATATTAACTGCAAAGATAAAACTGAAGGTGCTCACTGAATATAGATGCAGGATGGTGACTTTTCTCATGTATTTTAATCGTCGACATCATTCATATCAATAGGTTTTACAGACGGTGGCCACTCTCCTGTCGAATGTAAGGTGGCTGCAAGGCTACCCTAATATTAGCGATTAGTACGATCACGAACATATCTATAAAATGTTCTATAGATATTTTCATGATACTGATAGCAACGACTGAAATGGATGGTTTGTGACTGCTTTCAGGCGAGAAGAATGTGAAACTGTCGAGCAGCTATTTGAACAAGGGCGATACGCCTATTCTCGTGATACGCAAGCCTGACGTCAACATGGCTGAGGACTGGACGGTCACCCTGACATTCTAAGCAATCAAACACTACACAAGCATGCAGTCAAACACATTTGCTCTCACACACGCTTATTCAAACACACACTTATTCAAACGCACACGCAAACACACGCACACCTACACGCACACGCATGCACACGCACAAAAAAACATCCACAAACATACAGACTAACCTAGCTAATTCCAGCGTAATAATATGTTTGTTAATGGTTGTTTGTTTAGCATGATTTCTCACAGTCACATTGCTCGGTGAACATTTCTATGCTGCACTAGTTCATTGCCGGTTTTTACAACGTGAACGAATCGGGGGAGGCAATGATGGCAGCTGCTGTGTATATTTAAATATGTCATCTTCATCTTCTCTGTATACTTTGTCTTCTTATTCTTCTGCAAAGAGTAGCTGTTTCTGTGTGCAAATATTTGCATCCTCGTGGAATAGCATATATTTTATTGGCTATGTCAAGAAATGCGGGGGTAAGACTAACTTTCCATCTATCTGTTCGCTTTCACCTCGTTCCACGAGTTTAGTGGGTGGTGTCGTTGGCCACCTATGACACCTCGTCTGTGCTCAGTATTATTTAAACGATGGGTATCCAATTCTCGTACTTGATATGTATTTGTAAGCGTCGAGCACTAAATACAGCTTGATAGCTGATTTTCCGCCATCCCTGGGACCAGCGCCATCCTATTCTTCGAGAACCGTCGGAGGTATATTAATTGGCAGCCTCTAAAACTTCCATGAACCCCGTCGCAATCGCTCTACAGCATCATAGACTGCTACAAAGCTATACCGGTACCTACATAACATATCATAAACATATTGAGCTGCTATATGGCTGCGGCATGTAGGAACCAATTAGAAATACGTTAAATTTTTAATATAAATGCCCCCGTCGTAAAACTGGCCGGACCATGAGAGGTTCGATCTGGACCATCGATCGCCAGAAAAAAAATCGGTGGGGACGTGCACATTGTGTGAGGAACTTTAACCGAATTAAATAGCTGTGAAGTGTGATTTTTTGATAAAACTAAAAAAAAAAACAAGCGAGTCTAACTAGGAAAAGAACCATGCATCATTCTTACTAAACTATAACGTTGTCCGTAAAATGGAGTGGCGACGTAATAAACAACGATTGCCCATGTTGGAATATTTTATTTGGGTGTCAATCAGAAAGTTGGAGTGACGTGTGAAATTTATTATATGTATGTTTGTCAGATGTCTGTTTTCTACGAAGAATATAAGTCGTTTAAACTTCTGTGATTATGCAATGTCGAACCGTGAGGAGAAGAGTTCGATTACTCGATTTCGATGGTGAAACGATTCCGGTTTTTTTAATCACCAGGTGGCACTACTAAGATGTATTCTCGTAATTTAGAAAATGTGACCCAACGTTGGTCTACTACATTTGTATTTCCTATTATTTGTTTCTCAAAGTCCTGACTGTTTTTTCGCGATAGTTGTGCAGAAACGCCATTCGTACATAGCTTGTCGTTTCGGGACATTTCGAGGTCAGTTTTTTTCAAAGTGCGAGACGCGTTTCTGTGCAAAGCACAATCAAGTAAATCGTACCTATCGGCGGGAAAATTCGTACTCGTGTCCTCCCTGATGAAAACGCTCGCGCATGCACGCACGCATGCACGCATACACACCCTATCCTGCCTCGTAATTTTGCTGGGTAGCTCTCTGAAGCTCTCTACACTTTGAATGCTGATCTTGCCCCGGTGATGATTGTATCGTTACGACAGAAAGCAGAGTGGAGAGAGAGAGAGAAAGCGCGCAGGTGACCGTACGAGGATACTAATTCTTACTCGCTGCCCGCGAGAAATAGTAGAACTGTATTTGGATTGTGAATTCGATCTTTGAGGAATGTGTCTTGTTGGATTTATATGTTCAAGTTGGGGTTAGGTTGTATTAAGATGGTGTCCAACATTTAAAAACCTGTGTACTGGCGTCTGTTTACGCCATGTCTGGTTTCACTGCTCGTCAGATTTAGCTCAATTCGCGCTTCCGGGAAGTTGTGCTGATGGTTTCATCCACATAAATGTATAGAGGTAGCCTAATTGGTGTATTATTTCCATGATTCAATCTATGTCTTTTTGCATGTTTGAAGGTAGTGTCACCTAATGTTAACGAAAAGTCGAGAGCCTCAAGAGAATCGCGGCAGCCTTGATTGTGTGCTAGATTGTAGGGTGAATCGTTGCAAAATAAAGAGCCACTTTGTTTAAAAAAGTCACTGACTGTGTGCGAGTTCTCATAATGTCGTAAAACTTAACATTTAGCCACACGTATGCTATGCAGTGGCATAAAGCAAGACAGCAAGTATGTATGCTATGAAGTAAGGTTGGTGAGTAATAACCATATTTCGTAGCATACATATCTTTGTACATTACTTTTGTATACATTTCCCCATGCTGTACACCACTGCATAGCACTTTTAATTTATAAAACTTCATAGAAATTCGAAGAATGCTCACGGGCTGGTGTCCAGGGACGTATCCCAGTCGCATCTTCAATGAGTCCGACCCATTCCCCCACGCCCTTTATGACGGATAAAGTATGATTTTAATGAAAAGATTTGCCGTATCTGTGTAAAAGAATAAATAACTTTTAAAATAGAAACTATACAGTCAAAATCCGTTGGACTGCAACCCTATTCTACGACCCCAACATCCACCGCTTTGCACCGCAGGACATATTTACCACCACATATACTCGTATTACGTTCAGCACCCCCTGCTCACGCATGCACGCACGCACTCGTATTAAAAGCTTATACTCATACGTGGACGTGCCACGATCGGCCACGCGTTGTTGTCATCAACCGTACTATTCCACCGATACATGCATCGAAGTTGTGAGCAATACGCGAATGTACGCACGCACAAAAACGCATATACACACATCATCATGAACGTGAACACGTTTGTCTGGTATGATATCCATAGCTTATACTGTATGGTACCGCTCACAACTTCGCTCTTGGCTGCGAACACCAAAAATATATAGTGTAGTGGCTGGCGTTTTCAGCCAAAATCCTTTCGCATCTATGATGTAGTACTGATATGTCTAGGGCTATGGTATCTCTTAATCATTGCAATGAGCAATAGCAATATTTTCTAGTGAGTTTCTCAAACACATGCGCTACTAATTTAGCTCTGTGTAATGTACGTGGGACATAAAGCACTTATTATTAACTCATTGAGACGCTACAGGACCGGATTTAGTTCCAAGAAATTAGATAAACTTAGGATTAAAAAAAACCGATCTCCGATCAACCACCTTGCACTTTGTGAAAAAAGGCCTTGCCATTTGTGAAAAAGGTTAATTTCAAGTAGGGATATCTGTGTTTTTATCACACACCAAAATGGCATAAAACTTTTTCATATACTCTAAATTTGTGCAGACCCTTAATGGAAAATTAGGCTTACGGCCATGCACAAAGACACAGACACACACGCATGCACACACGCGCGCGCATGCACGCTCGCACACACGCACGCCAACGACAAAACATCGTGAATTCATGTCCAACTATGCAAATATGTAGACAAAATCTTTTACAGCCGAATTCTCGAAAACATCTGTAGTTCTCTACCCCATCCCTTTCACTCAGCATTCACAAGACCACCTCCAGTCACTATCTCCAGATCAACCTCTGGTGTTGTAATTCCAATAACTTTGCCGTTACATGCAGTGATCAATAATCACTTGAGGCTGCACGAGAGATCCAACATTCACGAGAAAAACCGCAAGGTTTGGAGAAAGTGAATATCTTTTATTCGCACCCCGTGGTAGGGGTAAAATATTAACACGAATAACAATGATAAATATTCAGCACGCAAACAACCCCAGCGACGCGCTACGTGCTGGAAGGTGAAGCCCATAGTACAGTCTCCGGCCTTAATATAAACCAATCCCCTTCCTTAAACACACACGCACGCACGCACGCACGCACGCACGCACGCACGCGCACACACACACACACACACACACAAACACACACGATTGAGTCGACAGCTAGTGACACCTGGTGTCACTCATTAGCTTATGGCGGGTGGTGCAGTATTTGCTGGCAATACATATAATAACTAGGTGAATAATTGAAAAACGGGCAGGTAAAGGATAACATGATAATACTATTCACAAATCTCAATAGAGAAGACAGCTTTCGACGCACTGTACATAGCATATAGTGTGCATGGCAATAATTTTGGATGACCCTGAAGTTGCAATAACCTTGTGACACGTATCACAATCTCTAAACGAATATCTACAATACAATTTACATTTCAATACGGTTGCGTGTACTCCATTTATAACTGCAATCTCAAGCCGTTTTCGCCCAACACACCTCGCAGGCGCGTGATTACCACCCGGATTGCATCGCGAGATCTGGTTGTCTGTCCCCGATAAAATCAACGTGTAAAATCATCGATAGGCATAGCGCGATTGTTACGAATCCTATCGTTGCAGCATCCACCCCGCCCCTCAGAGAGGGCTGTTGCTGGGGGCACGGGAGCTCCCGTCCATTCATGGCTCAGTGTGTGGCCGGGGTGCGGGAGTGCCCGTCCAATCACAGCTCAAGTCAGTGGCCGGGAGTGCGGGAGCTTTCATCCAATCATGGCTTTGGATGTGGCCGGGCGTGCAGGAGCTCCCATCCAATCACGACTTCAGGAGTTTCCGTCCATTCGCTGCTCAAGTATTAGCTGGCTGCAGGAGCTCCCGGTCAATCAGTGCTCTCCGTTCTTCGCCGCCTGACCTGGCATTGGCGCGCAGCTCTCGAACACGCTGATAAGGCTCTGTACACCGATCAGGTAACCGTCCTCGTGGTTGCCCTCGACCCACGGCACAGTGTGCGTCACCGCAGCGCCCTCTGGTAGTGGCAGTGTCTTGCCGAAGTCGATGATCCACACGTTTGCGTAGCCGCTCGTGTCGTGCACGAACAGCAGCGACGAGCCAATCAGCTGCAACGTGAAAAAAACGACAGCCAATCAGCTGCAGCGTGAAAAAAAAACAGCCAATCAGCTGCAGTGTGAAAAAACAACAGCCAATCAGCTGCAATGATCCAAAAGCGCAACGGTAAAGCAGAAACGAGGCGGCACGATAACCGAATCGAAAACCTTTGATCGTTTCCGGCATGTTTCGCCGCATCGCAGCTGTTCGATTGCGTTACGGGCGAATTCCTTTGCACGCGGCAAGGCGCTTGGGTCATGTCGTGGTGCAGCACATCCGTCGGATATATACACCGGCAGTCAAGTGTTACCGATCGCTTCGAACCTGCGGGCGCGGTCTCAATGGGTCGACTCGCGCATTGCTTCAAGCGAGGGATCTTACCTCGTGCGCAGCGAGGAACGGGGACGTCTCGCAGGTTGTACGGATCGCCTTCAGCCGCCGCAGATACTTCTTCTGTGGGACGAGGAAACAACGAAGCGATTAGGCGAGGCTGCGATTGCACGTTAACGTGGGCCACTGAGACATTCGGACATTGTCCACTACCTCTGCCCTAGCCTCAGACCATCCCTGTCCAGTCACAACGCGATGGACAGGGTTGCTAGCTGATACGGATTTGAACAGGGATGGTACGGTTTCAAACACAGGTGGTACGGTTTTGAACATGGTAAACTCAGTGGAAGGCTCCATCTCAGAGGTGCTATCATCTAAGAAAACCACTCTACTGTCTAATGTGGGGGCCAGAGAGCCACTTTCATGTCCAGTGACGTTTGCCTTCACATGTGTATATTGTTTGGACGTACGAAATTCACGAGGTTACCCAGTATGTGTGTGATAAGCACGATGTGATAGAATTAACATTCGTTAAAACGGAACCAAACATATACCGTGTACGTCAGATTTGTAAACGAATCCTCGCAAACGAATTAAGACCAAGGGAAACCCCGTGAAAAATAATACACCACAGAGCCGTGTTCAATAATTGCTAAAAGAATATTTCTCTGTAGGAGTTGCTGCAGCTGTAATTGATGTTGATACGAGAAAACCAGACTTTGTTTGTCGACTATGTCAACACATCCGGCCTAATTAGATGTAACGAAAAGTACGCTGACATCCCAAAGCTTCTAAAAACGGATGATTCTTGCTCGTTTGCGAAAAACATCTCACTTTTAAATGGTGGCTCACGAATGTTGGCACGCCACATTACTGTAGCATCGTATGTTACATGCCATGAGTAACACCTACGCTAACGTTGGAAGCTACGTGACTGAAAGGGGAGCATGTAATGACGTCACTGCGTTACAATACACCATGTGTGTGAACATGCACGCGTGTGCAGACTTGTTGTAAAAGCTGACAAAATTGATAAAACCTGAGTAGTAATTATGAAGCGCTAATTAAACGCGCTGAAAATTTAGCGGCTGCCAATTAGCCATAGCACTCACTCTGATCTCGTCATTGTCATCGATGAAGCATCGCATGACCTGCGCTATCTGCTCTTTTGTTTTTGTCTTCTTGAAATCACTCGTAGACGAGCCGTCGGCTCTCTGTGCAAAATAAACAAGCGGTGTCAGCAGTCCTGTGAATGACAGAATAGGTTCATTTTCCATGATTCCATGATTTAAACTAACTATTTCAAGATTTTTGCTCAGAAAAACTAAATATAGCTGAATATAGTCTCACCTGACAGCGGAAATATCACTGATTACACCAACATTAAAAATACTAATATTTTATGCAGTTATAGTATAGAAAAATGGATTTGACCACATCGTAACAGCAATAAATTTTATCGTATGTCGATAACGCCTAATGGCAGAATTGGTAAACTTGTATTTGTGTCCGTGATGAATTGAAAACAAGTGCATGATTTGAGAGATCCTGTACTATGTCTACGGCAGATAAGCGGTGGCGCCACAAGCTAATCCATACTTCCAACTAGTTCAAGATGATGAAGAGACATGAAGAGAGGAAATGCAGGGGAATAGCGAAAGCTATCAGTGCAGGAAATTTTACATCGGATTGGAATAGACGAGTAAAATTCCTGGGGGGAAAGTATGACGAAGAACAGTTATTGATAAATAGAGACTGGGAAAACAGCAAATCATGGAACAATACGGTGGAGAAAATCATTATAAAAGGCAGCACAGTCAGATGGAGAAAGGGGATGGTAAATAAAAGCACACTAGAGCTATATAAAGGGAAAATATTTCCTAAACAAGAAACCTTTTACAACTAGACAGAGGGCACTCACGGAGAGTGCATACCTCCCCGAGCGTGTAACATGTATACATGTGTATAACAGCTGGCTCGCTGCTGGCTGCTGTTGACTGGACGCCCTAAGGCGAGCTGCTGCTGACTGGACGTCCTAAGGCGAGCTGGTGCTGAATCGATCGCGCCAACGCTACACACACACACACGAACACACACACGAACACACACACGAACACACACACGAGACCGATTACATGACCTCCGTTGCGCGGAGGTAACGAACACACACACGAACACACACACGAGACCGATTACATGACCTCCGTTGCGCGGAGGTAATAATAATAAAATCGGCAGTAAGCTGCTGTACCAATGTAGAGCGGGATGCCTCCCCGTAAATAAAAGAACCAGGAGATGGTTAGGGGAAGAAAATTGCACTGTGTGCAATAAGGGAGAACCAGAAGACCTCAAGCATTTCCTGTTAGTTTGCCCGGCATACAAACACCTAAGGAAGATTATGTGGGACAGGCTCCAAGAAGTGGGGGTCACCCCTGCACAGCTGGAGGAAAGGCAGGTGATGCTCACCATCATGGGGCTAAATGAACATAGATGTTATGGGGATTGGGTAGAGCAGGTTAAACATTACTTGGAATCAGCCTGGAAGCTTCGGAACAAAATCTCCCGGTAAAGTGAAATTACCGGTGGGAAACTCAAAAATAAAAAGGGAAACACCGATCTAAAGGTTCCCGTTCATACATACATACATACATACGTACATACAGTTCAAGATGACAGGAAACGATTGTTTACAAAAACTAGTAGTTCGAAACTGGCACTTTTTGGTGAATACGAAGGTTCTAAGACATTTTATTGTTACTCTAGACAATTGCTATTACTCAAGCAATAACGGTAGGTGTCATGAAAGTGGTGAAAACACTGGAAAACTCTCGCAATAGTTACTTTAAAGTAAAGGCAATCATTATAACCCATACCATTGTTCAATAATCAGTGAACAAACCTATGCCTCAAGCAAGTTTTATTGCCTCACAGACAGAAAACAGGACAAATATAGACAAATCTATATCTTCAGTATAATAAACTTGTTATTATTATTGTGTGTATTATTATTATTATTATTATTATTATTGTGTGTATTATTATTATTATTAAACTTGTTATTATTATTGTATTATTGTGTTATTAAAATGTGGACAAAATAGATAAAGACAGGACTTTCCATGTTTGGAAGACCCCATACCAGATCCTGACAGTTAATATTCTAAATCCGACTGCGTGTAAGTGCATCACAGTCCCTACCAACTCTGATGAAATTGCCACAACACGGGTTGCCACCATGCAGCCGCCCGAGGGCGCCACTGTTTGTGCCCCCATCATGTAACCATGAAGGGAAGCCACCACGCAGCTGACAAAGGAAGCTGTCACATAACCGTCAAAGAGCGCTACAACACTGGCAGCAGGGGTCGCTGTCACGCAGCCGACAAATGGGGATATCTCACAGAAGGCGCTACAGTGCAACCACCAGGTGCTGCTAAACCACGTCCCCAGATGGCATTAGCCTGTCAGAGGGCGCCGCCGCCGCTGCAGCTCACCTTGATGCCCTCGATGCGGAAGCCGAGGGAAGCTGTGGAGCTGATGCTTTCACGCCACACCATGTAGCGTGGCTTCGTCACTCCGCGCTGCGCGTGCTCCTCCTCCGTCGGCTCGTCAGCATCCACCTGTATCATCTTCTCGTACATGTCCTGCGGGGAGAGATGCGTGCGATCAATCAATCGCGAATATCGATGATAATAATATTAATGCTCGTTGCTAACTTCACAGCTCACTGGCATCGAGTGATTCGGCGAATCGAACACACGCAGGGTAGAACAGTGGATCTGCGTCCCACAGTGATGGTGCAGACCTTCGCTTCACGCACGAATCTCAATAATAACCCACGTGGTTTGCACACTTGTTAGTAAAATGACTAGGATCATCGTTCAAGAGAATATGCTACTGATGAAGATTCTCGGATCGGTTAGTTAATCAGACTAATTTGTATTGCACCAGAATCCACCAATTATATCATCTTGGAAAGGTCCTGCATGAGACAATCAGAGCAAGGTGTGGTTAACCTTTTTCCTGCAGTGATCACATTATTGCACACATCACACCCACCAGTTTATATTGGCATAATATAAAATTATAACAAACTAAGTGTGATGTTTGAATTTTGTCACAAACTATTATTCACGGTTAACATTCTATTCCTGTACAGTAAGAGTGTAGCGCTTAACATGATCAAACATCAGCCTTGAAAAATTATGGTGCAAATCAGAAGATACCCCCTCCCCCCAAAAAAAAACAACTTGGCAGGCAACCGATGCTAATCAATCACGAATGTAAACAACCAACACTCATGTTTTCATTCTCATTAGTAAAATAACTATGAACCGTTAGGGAAGTGGCCTGCCAATCCAGATTTTTCAGATTCGTTAGTTAATTAGATTAAAATGTGCTGCGCATTACCTTTTATGACTCAAAATCAAATCGTGATGTAATATTAAATAAACGAAACTAATTATAGCGAGTCTTATTACGCAAATAAAAGCAACTCCATGAGAAAAAGTAATATACAATACTCTTTTCTATAACGGGAATAATTATGTTACAATACACTACAAACCACAATGATATACACTCGTCAATTTTAAAATCAGAAACCCCACGCTACTGCACTAGCAATATCCAAACTTCATGAACCGCTTCTAAAATTAATGGATGAAGACAATGTTCAAGTCGAATTTTCCTTGACCAATCAGGGGTAACCAATAACGAAACAAACAAAACATAAACAACATAATATCCCGCCTACCTTAACTTGAACACTACGGTATAAGAGGATTAATGTCTCTAATCGCAAACACAATGTCCATATCAACGATTTTTGTTCATCCAGAGTACGAAATAGGTACGCTCTGCTTTCTGATTTATGTTAATGACTTACCACAAGTATCTAACTTCGATACACGACTGCTAGTGGACGATACAAACTTATTTACGACTTGTCAAACGTAGGACTTGCGCGTGCGCACATTTTATTTAGACTAATATTGTTTAGTTTTCTCAGGTTTTCGCCACTAGCAATAGATTATGTACTATGACTTACTATATTTTCATATCTGCCATTATATTCTGTCTGTACACGACGCAATTACAAATAAGCATATTGATCCTTGCAATGTTTTTGATACTCTACGTGATTTGATTAATTAGTACGGAAACCGATAACAGGTTAGTCAAGGCAAGACAACAAGGTACTACACCGGTCTACTGACTGAGCACCTCCTGTTTCGTACAGCAGAACGACTGGCGCATTTATTACCGCAAGAAAACGAATGAATAACAAACTAAAGCCTTCAAAGAAAAGAAGTACGGTTCTTACACGCATCAGTAACACACTCACACCACGTAGACGTGCACAACCTTGACTCGCTCATTAGCGCGCATAGAAAACTGCGTTACTCTAGTACAAAAAACTCGACAGCTCACAAACAACCGAGGATAAATTTGGCAAGCTCCCAACAACGGTAGATTACCGCATCCAAGCTACAGCGCTGCGCCCCCGACTGCTGCCTCCTTCGCACTCACCTTCCTCAGCTTGGGCTTCTCTCTCGCCTTTGCGAGCTCCTCCTCCAGGTAGGTTCGTACGCCGATCTTACAGTCCATCACGCTGGGAGTTGTGAAGCCAGCTAGCAGGTCCTCCATCTTCACGTATTCTGGTATCATGCCGGATCGTCAAGGCACCACCATGTAATTAACACATCTACCTCACCTACACCCATGAGTGCATTATAACCCACAGATACTGTAACCCACGGATGCTGTAAACCATGGATACGGTTCCCAACGGATACTGTAAACCAATGATAGTGTAACCCACGGATGCTGTAACCCACGGATGCTGTAAACCATGGATACTGTAACCCACAGATACTGTAACCCACGGATGCTGTAAACCATGGATACTGTAACCCACAGATACTGTAACCCACGGATGCTGTAAACCAATGATACTGTAAACCAAGGATACTGTAGCCCATGGATTCTGTAACCCATTGATACTGTAACCCACAGATGCCTCGTTAAGGATATTCTCAGTATGAGGGGGGAGGGCAAGTACAACCAAAAGCCTCCTCTCCGACCCTTCCCCCTCCTCCCACCCCCTGGTTGTGTCAGGAATCATGGTTCATACAGGACTGAAAATCACCTCAAGACTTCAGGACTTTTCAAGGACATTTTATCAGAAATTCAAGGACATTTTATCGGACATTTTATCGGAATTCATACACAGAACAAAACATACCTGGATTAATTTAATAACCCCATTCTTAATCACTGTCACCTCTAAAACTTACCTGGATCACATTAATAAACCCTTCTAAACACTGTTACTTCTACAACATACCTTGATTTACTGACTGATTTTACTGACTTACTGTAATTTGTGATCATCATTTAACTGTCTATCGTGTCTATAGATAGCTTTTTAAGCTCATTTAACTTATGTGTGTGTGTGTGTGTGTGTGTGTGTGTGTGCGTCTGTGTTGTGTGGTGTGCGTTGTTGTGTGTTGTGTGTGTCTGTGTGTGTGTGTGGCGTGTGCCTCGTCTTTTTGCGTGTGTCGTGTGGCCGTGTGCGTGTTGGCGGGTGTGCGTGTGCGTGTTGCTGTGGTTGCTGTGTGTCGTTGTGACGTGTGGCGTGTGCGTGTGGCGGTGTGCGTGGTGCGTGTGTGTGTGCGTGTGTGTGTTGTGTGTGTGCATGTGTGTGTCGTGTGTGTGTGTTGTGTGTTGTGTGTGTGTGTGCAATGGTGTGTGTGTGTGTGGCGTGTGTGTGGTGTGCTGTGTGTGTGTGTGGTGCTGTGTGTGTGTGTGTGCATGTGTGTGGGGGTGTCGTGTGTGTGTGTGTGTGGTGTGTGTTGTGTTGTGTGTATGTGTGTGTGTGTGTGTGTGTGGCATGCATAGTGCTCGTCGTGTGCTGTGTGTGGCAGGTGGCATGGCGCGGCCGGCCGCGCGCGTGTGTGTGTGTGTGTGTGTGTGTGTGTGTTGTGGTGTGTGTGTGTGTTAAAAGGTTTCGTGGAAGAATGGCACTGAAGAGTAGCGAAAAGCGGTTTCGTGGCAAGATATGTCTGCAGTTATTTTTAATATAAATATCACTAGTATTATATATCTATATATATATATATACTGTAATCCTGGGCGTCGCATCTAATTCCTTTGATGTTGATTCATAGATACATAATCCTATAATATTCTGTATACAGTATTCAGATTACTGATTCGACGGTTCGATCCGCTCCTCCAGGGATCCTCCGATTTATGAAAGTCTGGCGCCCCGCATAGTATGATGTCCAACCTGTTTCAGGGGCTTGGTCTTCATGCTGCGTTCTGCGGGGCGAGAGGTATAGATCTTATTGGTCTCTAATATTTAATTGTGAGGAAGGGGACCGGTAGAGGCAACATGTCTTCTTTAGTCTTTATCCTCTCGCTATGGTCCCTTTAATGGGCACTATTTTCCTATTATACTACCACTAATAACTACAGTAAATTTTTTATATATATTGTATAAATCTCTGTTTCCGGTTTAACATTCATTCTTGCTGCCTTCAGTATTTTAACATTATTTTCGATACTATTTCAAGCCATTGCGGATTTTGTGATATGACTAAAACTTATTAGTAAGGCGATGTCTGCGAATAAAATTATATAACATATTATATATATTATACCTATATATATTATTTGGAGTAGATAATAGAGATACCTATTATCTACTCTGCATGATAACTTGTACTATTTCTACTTTCTACCTTTCACTCTAGCCTACATATATTATGCTCTGTATGTTGTATGGTATGTATGTATGTATGTATGTATGTTGTTGTTGTATGTGTGCTTGTATGTAATGTGATGCTATGATATGTATGTATGTATGTATGGTATGATGTTGTCTGTTGTATGTATGTATGGTATGTATGTATGTATGTATGTTGTTATGGTATGTAATGTATGTTATGTAATGTAATGGCTATGTGTGTGTGGTGTGGTGTGTGTGTGTGTGTGTGTGTGTGTGGTGTGTGTGTGTGTTGTGTGTGTGTGGTGTGTGTGTATGGTATGCTATGTATGTATGATATGTATGTATGTTTGTATGTGATGTATGTATGGTTGGGTATGTCTGTATGCTTGTATAGTATGCTATGCTTTATGTATTTCTGTATGTATGGTATGTCTGTATGTATGTATGTCATGGTATGCTCTGCTTTTATTGCTATTGTATGTCATGTATGATTGCTAATGTATGTATTGTTGTATGCTCTGTATGTATGCTATGTATGGGTATGTATGTATGTATGTTATGTCCTATGTGATGTCCGATGTATGTTTACTGGATCAGTGTATGTATGTATGTTATGTATGTATGTATGTATGTATCGGTATGTATGTATGCGTTTATGTATGTTGGTCTGTGATGTATGTATGTATGGGTATGTATGGTATGGTATGGTCATCGTAGGCTAGTGTATGGGTGATGTATGTGTGCGTACGGATGTGTGTTGTATGTTATGTATGGTATGTTATGTATGTATGTATGTATGGTATGATATAGATATGTTGGGTATGGTGATGTATAGTATGTATGTATGTTCGCCTATGACTATGGTATTGTTCCCTCGCTCTCCGTTACATCTTGCTCTGCGTCATGGTATGGTATGTATGTGATGTACTGTCAAGGCTGCTTATGTATGTTGTGTGTATTTATGTATGGTATGTTATGTGTGTATGTATGTATGTCTGATATGCCTATGATATTTCGTTCTCTTGTCCTTTTTCGCTCTGTATGCTTGTATTGACAACTGTATTATGCTATCGTACTGTATGTTATGTATGTATGTGTATGTGATGCTATCGCATAACTGTATGTATGGTCATGATATGTATGTATGCCTATGTAGTTAATTCCTGTCGCTTAGACTAGCGCCTTGCATGCTGCTACTGTATGTATGGGTATGCCCATTACTCCTTGCCTATTATTTTTGGCGCTGCGCGATAAGTCATTCATTCGGCGTCCTATTGGCTATGCAGCGCCGCAAGATATATGTTCGCGCCGGACTTCTAATAGTCGATAGCAGACCTTGTAAACTCACCTGTTGCCAGATAGCTTCACGATGAGCCTTCAGCTCCAGGCGTTTCGCGCAGAGGGTTTGGCATCGTCTCTGCTGCGGATTGGGCTAGAGTCCCTCACGCAGTGAATGCTACTTCGTCCAGCGTAGAGGGCAGATGCGCTGACGGGTCCGTGACAGACTACTTTACGCTCCTCGTTTTGCTCTTTATTTTCTCTACTCTATGTTCTCCGTCTCTTGCTTCCTCATGTTGCTGCTTCTCTATTTCTTCTTCTTCTTCTCCTTTTCTCTTCTTCTCTCTTATCTCTCCTCTCTTGCTCTTCTCTCTCTCTCTCTCTTCTCGTCTTCTCGCTCACCTTCCCTCCATTTTCCTCCGTACACCTCTCTTCTTCTCTCTCTCTCTCTTGATCTTCTCTCCTCCTCTCTGCACCTCTCCTTCCTACTCTCCTACCCTTTCCACCCTCTTCTCTCTCTCCATCCTTCCTCCTCTTTCCCTACACTCCTTCTCTCCCGCGCCCCTCCACTCTCTTATTCCTCTCCTTTCCTATCTACCTCCTTGCCCCTCTTCGCTCTTCCCCACCTTTCCTTCTTTCCTTTACACCTTCCCCCGCCCACCTTCCTTTCCTTTCCTACACCTCAACCCGCCACCTTCCTCCTCTACACCTCCCCCCGGCCCCACCTTCCGCCTTCGCCTACACCGGGCTCCTCCCTCCCCACCTTTTCTCCTTCCCTAACCATCTCCCTACTGCCCAACCCCTTTCCTCCTTTTCCCTACACCTCACACCCGCCCGCCCTTACCGCCTCCTTCCCTAACAGCCTCCCCTCCCCACCTTCCTCCTCCCCGCCCTACACTTCCCACCCGCACACCTTCCTCCTTTTACCCTCCCCCCCACACTTTCCTTCCTTCCATACACTCCTCCACCGCCTCCACCCCTCTTTCCCTACACCTCCCCGGGCCCCACCTTTCCTCCTTCCCTACACCTCCCCCTGCCTTCCACTTCCGTCCTTCCCTACACGCTCCCACGCCCACTTCCTCTTGCCTACACTCCCCCGCCGCCCACCTTCTCCTCCTTCCTACACCCGCCCCTGCCCACCGTCCTCCTTCCCTACACTCCCTCGCCCCCACTTTCACTCCCTTCCCTACACCTCGCCCCCCACCTGCTCCTTCCCTGCACACCTTCCACCGCCGACCTTTCCTCCTTCCCTGAGACACTCTTCCGCTCGCCAACACCTTCCTTCCTTCCTACACCTCCCCCTGCCACCATGTCAGCCTTTCCTGCCTGTTCCTACACCTCTCCTCCGCCACTTTCCTCTTCCTCTAACCTCTTTCCCCGCCCACCTTCCACAAATTGAAGAGTATTCCCCATGGGTTTGCACAGGGACCTTGAAAAAGTCCTTGAATTTGATGGAGGTCCTGTACAAAAGGTACTTGAAATTAGTAAACTGTTGAATTTGGGTGCTTGAAAGGAAGTGCCTTGAATTTCATGAAAATGTACTTGAATTTTTCGAAAGAAATCCTTGCTTGTAATAACGCAGCGGAAGTTGTGGCTACCATCAATAATGTGCCAAACCTCAATACAAAATTGC